GAATTCTGGGAGTTGAAGTCCACAAGTCTTAAAGTTGCCAAGGTTGGACACCCCTGGACTAGTCAGTCATCCTCCTGCACCACAGGAGGGGGGTTGCCCTTCCCGGGCTCTGGAGGCTTTTCTCGAGTCTCCAGGAGGGCCAAAACGGTCTCCCCTGGGCTCTGGAGGCTCTCTGGAAGCCGGAAATGGGCCCGTCTCTGGCCTTCCCAAACTTCCGGGAGGCCCGTTTCTTGCCCTCCCTGAGCCTCCCTGCACTTACCTGCATCCAAAATGGGCCGTGTAAGAGACTCCTGGGGGGGGGAGGAGTGGGCAGGGCCAGCCAGGAGTGAGATTTGGGGGTTCTCCAAACTGCACAGAATCTTAGCTAGGGGGTCTCGCGAACCCCTGCAAACTCCCAGCAGTCCACCCTATTGCATCCCTTCATTTCCATAAGGGAAAGGATAGAATTTGCAGCCACGGATTCTCTCTCTCCCAGATGTGGCAACAGTCCACAGTTTAGACGGTTTTAAAAAGAGCTTCCAGCTGTCAATGGCTTCTAAGCTTGATGGTTAATTGTTATTTCTGGAATTATAGGCATCAGAGCTTAAATATCTCACCCGAGGGAGCAGGCAATAACATATCTATCCATGCTTGTGAATATTCTAAGTGCACCTGGTTGGCCACTGTGTCTCTTTGGCACTTATCTTCTGTAAGATAAGTCTTTTATCTTTTATTTTTTTATCAAAAAAAATTATACATCTTTCCTTTATATACATCAAGATATCTATTGTATCTATCTCTAGTTGTTTCTATATTATATACCTTATACTCTATGCGTCTATCATATTTCTCTCTTAAAGTCTGTTATATTAGTTACATTAATGTATTCTTCTTACATTTTGTATCTATTCTCTAACCATTCATACCATTTATGCCATATTGCATAATATTCTGAGTTCTCCTTCTCTTTCATTTCTAACGTAAGCATATCCATTTCCGCACATTCTAGTATTTTGTATATAATTAACACCTCTGGGGAGATGTTAGGTCCTTTCCACATTTGTGCAAAAGCTATTCTGGCTGCCGTCAAAATATGCAAAATAATGTATTTTATCTTTTGGAGGGGTATTGATCTGTAATTATTCCTAGTAGGAAAAGTTCTGGTTTAAGTTCAATTTCATATTTGCTAATTTCCTGCAGCCAGTTTTTTATTTTAATCCAGTATCTCCTGGTCTTGGGGCATTTCCCTAGTCCTTTAAGTCAGGTTGAATGGAGTCCCAATCAAATGACTTGCAGTATAGTTGAATCTGGTTGCTATCTCTTTTCGTTGATTGTTAAGCCCTGTTGTGCCTTTTGGATTGCATTTGTTATGGCTGATCTTTCTTGCATGTTACCAAGAGTCATATTGTTTGAATTGGGTGGCTGTGTATAATATCAATAAATAAGAAAGAAAACCCTCGAGGCAAGCTATGAGGACAATGGCTGCCTTGTACTTCTATTGCTAGCAACAATTGCTGGGACATGTTACTTCTTTGATAGATCTGTCATCTTACCATCATACTTGGCATGGCCTCCATGATTTTGAAAAGTTTTGTAATAGTTGGAATAAGTCATCTATTTTGTGGTTTATTGTGTGTGCAACAATGCCAACAGTTTATTTTGAAACAAACCATGTTCCTGCTTCATCTGCCTATTTCACTGGGATTTACTGCCAGTAGTTTAACAGAATAAAAGAGTTTAGCACAGTGGGGAGGGACCTTGGAGGTCTTCTAGTCCAAATTATGCTCAGGCAGGAAATTGTACTATTTCAGTCAAATGGTTGTCCAATCATTTGGAGCTCCCACAACTTCTGTAGGTAAGCCATTCCACTGATTAATTGTTCTGTCAAAGAAAACCATTTCTAGGTCGGATCTCTGCTTGAATAGTTTCCATCCATTGCATCTTGTCTTTTAATTTATCTTCTAATTCATGTCACATTTGTACTAGATTCCCAAATCCATCATGAACATTTAACTTCCCTGGGATGCTGGCAAACCCACATTCTGCATGACAGCCTTCCTCCTTCAACACAAAATCCCAGAATTCTAGGCCGCAATGGCATATGAAATAGGCTTCTGTAGATTTTCTAACAAAAGTATAGCATGCGACTTGCAGGTTGTTCTCAATTACTGTTTGGCATGAGATGTCATGATTTGCAAGTAAGCATTATTCTCTTTTGTTTGCTTTTAATTATGATTAGATAACTCCTATGATGCTGTTCGAAGATCAGGATGGGGTAATAATCTGAATTCCAGCCACAATAAAAGTAAGTTATTGTTTGCCTTGATAGGCTGATAGATGGTTTCCAGGAGAAGCCATGTTTTAAAATATAACATGTTGTGAAGTTGGTATCGGTGATTGTGTTCCTATGCTACTGTCCACACTAATTTAATCTTCTAAATCCAGTATTTTTCAACCACAATTTTGTGGACTTCACCTCCCAGAATTCCTCAGCCAGCATGGAATTCTGGGAGTTGAAGCCCACACATCGTAAAGCTGTGAAGGCTAAGAAACTCTGGTCTACAGCGGTCTTGATGCAAAATCAAATGGCAATAGAGGTGCTAGAGATCTTTCCTTTGGCCCTTTGGTTGTGTGTTTTTTTTTTTTCTGGATATTTTGTGACTTCTCTCAAGAATAGAAAAATTTCCTAGAGATTCATAAAAAGAGCCATGTGACCTCTGCTTGTCATATTGGAAAGAACGGGAGTCTTTTGTTGCAGTATTTCTGTCACCTTTTTCTCAACATCAGGGGTCAGGCCCATCTTAAGTGCCCTTGAGAATTATAGACTAAGAGCCATGGTGGTGCAGTGGTTAGAGTGCAGTACTGCAGGCTACTTCTGCTGACTGCCGATTGACCGCAATTTGGCAGTTCGAATCTCACCAGGCTCAAGGATGACTCAGCCTTCCGTCTTTCCAAGGTTGGTAAAATGAGGACCCAGATTGTTGGGGACAATATGCTGACTTTGTAAACCACTTAGAGAGGGCTGTAAAGCACTGTAAAGCTCTATATAAGTCTAAATGCTATTGCTATCTAAGCTGTGGTGGCTCAGTGGTTAGAATGCATTATTGCAGGCTGATTCTGCCAACTGCCATCAGTTCGATCCTGACTCGCTCAAGGTTGACTCAGCCTTCCAGCCTTCCAAGATCAGTAAAATTAGGACTCAGATTGTTGGGGGCAAGATGCTAACTCTGTAAACCGCTTAGAGAGGGCTGTAAAGCACTGTGAAGCAGTATATAAGTCTAAGTGCTTATTGCTATTGCTTTGCTAACAGTATGACATGATGCTTTGAGGGTTTACTCTCCAACATGGAGCTGTGGTGGTGCAGTGGTTAGATTACAGTATCGCAGGCTGACTCTGCTTACTGCCAGGAGTTCGATCCTGACCGGATCAAAGTTGACTCAGCCTTCCATCCTTCTGAGGTTGGTAAAATGAGGACCCAGATTGTTGGGGGCAAGAGGCTGACTCTGTAAACCACTCAGAGAGTATTGTAAAGCACTATGAAGCAGTATATAAGTCTAAGGTTGATTGCTATTGCTATTCATACAAACACATTCCCACAGACAGACACACAGACACACACACAGAGAGACACATAGTTTTTGCTGTTGCAATTTGGACATTGGAAAGATTCTGGTTTCATTTTCTATGCCAATCAAAGGAGAATGGGTGGTGGGTGGGTATGTTAGAAAATAGAGGTTGTGGGGATGTAATAAGAATGTAGTAAACTTCACCTTTTTTAGAATGGAGGAATAATTATTGGTGACTTTAAAGGACATACATATTATTTTGGTGTCTACTCTCTCCTGCTCCTTCTTTTTCCTAACCTAACCTTTCTTCTTTGGTTCGTTAGGTCCTCCTCTAGGAGGGACACAAAATGTAAGCAAAAACGGAGAACAACAAAGACCCCAGCCAGGTAATAGTGCTGGAATGTACACAATTTTACTGATTTTAAGGGGGAAAAGAACTATATAAAAAACCACTTCTTGAGACTGAGCATTCTCAGAAAGGGAGATCATGCTCCGTCATAGATCTACAAGGGTTATCTCATTTGCTAAGTTTGAGAATCTTTAAAACTATAAACCAACCACTCTACTGTTATAAATTAAGAAGACGGGTCTGGGTAGCAGACTGCCATGTTTCTAGTACAGAAATGTGGAGGTTCATTCTCTACCAACTCCATTCTGCTTGAGGAATAATGGCACGGATATAGAAAATGGGAGTAACCATATATTCAAGCTAGAAATGCATTGATGGCTTGTTTGTCTCTATGATGCACCTTTCACCAACATCTAATCCTCCGTTCTTTTCTCAATTTAGATCCATATCAGATCTTAGGGCCCACCAGTAGCCGTTTAGCCAATCCAGGTAAGTCCATCTGAACCAAACCTAGCCCAACCTATGAGATAATCCATCTATCTCACTCTCAGTCTGAAGTCAGTAAATGCACAATAATTATTGCAATGGATATGAAATGGTCACCTTATCATTTATTTTTTCAAAAAAGAAGATGGTTATAAGCTACCACAACATCATAAGTGAAACAGAAACTGAAAAGCAAGGAGTGTTAAAATTCTTTTTTAAAGTTCACTTCTTTTTATGGAGCTCTGGAGCCACCATGGAGAAGGCTATGTCTCTAACACTCACCAGTCAGATGTAACTTTTTGACTGAGCTGTGAATGGCAAGAAGAGAAATTTATAATTGATTCTCTCTCTATGTGTGTGTGTCTCTCTCTCTCTGTCTCTCTCTGTGTCTCTCTCTCTGTGTGTCTCTCTCTCTCATAGGGAGTGGACAGATCCAACTGTGGCAATTCCTCCTTGAGTTGTTGTCAGACAGTTCCAATGCTAGCTGTATTACATGGGAAGGAACCAATGGGGAGTTCAAGATGACTGACCCTGATGAGGTGGCCAGGCGCTGGGGAGAACGCAAAAGCAAACCCAACATGAATTACGACAAGTTAAGTCGAGCCCTCCGGTATTACTATGACAAGAACATTATGACCAAGGTGCACGGCAAGAGATACGCTTACAAATTTGACTTTCACGGCATTGCGCAAGCACTTCAGCCCCACCCGACTGAATCGTCAATGTATAAATACCCTTCGGATCTCTCCTATATGCCTTCGTACCACGCGCACCAGCAGAAAATGAACTTCGTCCCGCCCCATCCATCCTCCATGCCCGTCACTTCCTCTAGTTTCTTTGGGGCGGCATCACCCTACTGGACTTCTCCTACTGGAAGTATTTATCCAAATCCCAATGTACCCCGCCATGCTAATTCTCACATGCCCTCACACCTAGGCAGCTACTACTAAATGCTTTTTGTCTTTGCTGCCCTTTCTCGTTTCGATTGGATGTTTTCTTCCATTCATGGAAATCTTGGGACTCTTTTTTTGATACTGTTGGGGAGAAAGCTTTTTTTTAAAAAAAAAAACCTGGATATTAATATTGTTATTTTTTATGGTTATTTTTATTGGAATAAACCTTTTTATTTTTCTAATTCTGCTTCCTCTGTCTCGGGGGAGCAGATGGGTTCTCCATGGGCCAGTATCCTGCCTTTCCTTTTGGTTCAAAGCCTTTTCTCATTTTTAGGACAACAATTGTGCAGTGAGTTATCACTCAAGAACCATAGACGAAGTATTGTCAAATCAAAAGCTTTTTGCAAAAAAAGAAAGATCAAAACCGATATCTCTTAGGACATGAATGTTTCTTCCTAACTAATGGGGAATCATGGTGGGGTGGTTTTTTTCCAGTTTTGAGATGTGCTGAAGAAAATTCGCAAATTTTGAGGACCTGGTTTGCAGATAATCAACTGGAATTTTAGCTTTAAGGCCAAATGAAGGCTTGGGTTTTTTTTCACTCAACTGGAAAAAAAGAGAATGAAATATAAGTAAATATGTATATTTTAAAGCAACTAAGGGCATTGAAAGGACTTTATAAGAATGTGCATTAAGTTACGTGGTTTTGGTTAATAACTCTGGAAGCATAAGGCACCAGGAAAAAAGAAAACAGGACATTATAATGCATTGAGAACAGATATTCTTAAGAATGCAAAATGGAACTAATATAAAATGACAGCAACTCTACCAGCTTCAACAAAGTTTGGGGAATTGCAAAATAAACATTACCGATTCACAAACGCTGTGCGTTTGTCAGTCTGCTACCGAAGAGGTCAACAAAGTCAGAGGGCAATTTACTGTATAAATTATGCAGAGTTATGTTTTTAACCTATATCTCACAGTATTGATGAAAACTGAAACGAGTTGACCTCGGTCACAAATGCAGTTGTGGTTGTTGTTTTTTTTACTATCAAATCCATTTTTGTACATCTTTTTAATCTGTACATTTGGGTTGCAGCTTTGTTTTGTTATTATTATTTTTTGTTTTGCTAAAAAAAATAAACTTAAAAAAAGAAACACATGTAATGTGTCTGTTGGAAAACTAGGGATCCCATTTGGAAACAAACTGATGGTTATATCCAGAAACTTGGAATAAAAATTTATTACAAAGCTGTATTGGTTTTATATTGATTAACTGATACAAATATCTCCAAAGAAATCTGGTAATTGAATCTTGAGAAGAGGATTCAAAATACAACTCAACGTTCTGTTTTCAAACTACTCTGGAAGAGAATAAATACTTGTTTGAACCACAAGTCTATAATATGTTTTCAGTTACTCCAGGTAATCAAAATAGCATCTTGGTTACCTTTTCAATTACTTTAATTGTTATTTTTGACCGCATATTTGAGAATGAATCCAGAAATATGTAAAAGAAGAAAAAGTGTTGGGTATTGCAAAGCCTAAGAGAGAATTAGTATTAGATGCATTATGGACTCTAAAATGCTCTCAGAATCTTAAATTGTAGGAACTTTCCTGGAAGATCTGCAATGATCCATAAATACACCTGACAAGAAGGAAAAATTAGAACTGTTTAGAGAGTTTGGGGATCCAACTGAGATGGAGAAGAAAATTAGTCTTTACCACAGTCAAAATTAGGACCTTCAGTATGCTGATTCCCCATATAATCATAGCATAGTAAGTCTTTCCCAAGTGATGCCTTATAATCTGGGTATGTAATTTTAAAAAGCAGGACTAGTACAATAGAAATAAAAGTTTTATGATGCTAAATACATTGTCTTGAACACTTCCTAGAATGTGCAGCTATTGATGGAAAATAAGGGCATTTATAAAGCCATTAAAAAAAGTTTCCTAAGGATACTTTTGCACACCTTTTATATTTATACAAATGGGTGGATGGATGGATAGATGGATGGAGATAGAGATGATAGAAGATAGAAAGAAATGGATGGATAGAGATGAATAGATATTGAAATAGATAGATAGATAGATAGATAGATAGATAGATAGATAGATAGATGATAGATAGATAGATGATAGATAGATAGATAGATAGATAGATAGATAGATAGATAGATAGATAGATAGAGATATAGAGACATAGATAGATAGAGATATATAGATAGAAATATAGATACATAGAGACATAGATGATAGATATGAATGGATGAATGGATGGAGACAGAGATGATAGATGATAGTTATAAATGGATGGAGAGATGGATGGGTGAGTGGGTGGGTGGATGAAGATACAGATGATAAATAGATGATATATATGCTATAGATAGGTGGATGAATAGATAGATGAATGAGGGAGGGGGGGGAAGGAAGGAAGGAAGGAAGGAAAGGAAAGAAGGAAGGAAGGAAGGAAGGAAGGAAGGAAGGAAGGAAGGAAGGAAGATAGATGATAGAATAACCCTCAAGGGTTGTTTCCCTTAAAGTGTCCTGCTCAGCTAAAGACTATGGTGAACTAAAATATGAAAAATAATGAGGTAAATATTCTTCCCCTTGAATTAAAGTGAAAAGTTCACCCAAGGGTTTTCTTTTACAGATAAACTTGAAGGGTTTTTTTCTATGTGTAAATATATAAAGATATATACCATTTGTGAGTCTTTAACACCCATCTCCTTGGTGGGAAGTTAGAAGATTGAAAAGAGCTAAGTCCAGAGGGAAGAGAGCAATTCACAGTGGAACCGGCAGATTCCATTCTAGTCCTGGAGACAAGGTAGAAAGTTCCTGCTGCAACCCAGCAATGAGGGATGGATTTGTGAACCAGCTTCCCTGCTTCTTCCACAGCTACCATACAGCAACTGATCAAATGAATGTGCTTGAAGGAAAGCACATTTTTGGAGGCTTCCACTCACCCTTCGTAGAATCCCCATGAGACCCTGTGGGATTTATAGTCTAATCTTTACGGGCTGAGGAATTGTTTTGCACTCCTGCCTCAGTTCTGGCAGGGAACATCCTGACCGTTGTGGGATTTTTGAAATATAAAGGCTGTTCTTAATGCTTCTTCACATGAAGAATAAAGACACTATGGAGGAGAGAATGGGGAAGGAAATATTAGAACTATATTGTCCTCTTTAATGCTTTGAACAATTCTGGCAGGTTTAATGCCGTTCAAGTAAAATGCCAATTAGATAGGAAAACATCCAGGCTGAGTTTCTTGCTTTTGCAAGTTTTTTTTTCTTCCTGGATGCTACTTAACTGCATTTTGTAATGCTACTTGAAATGACACCAAATTACTTTTGACCAAAAGCAAAACTGTAGGAAAATGACTTTATGAGCCACAGTGGCGCAGTGGTTAGAGTGCAGTACTGCAGGCCACTTCTGCTGACTGCCGACTGCCTGCAGTTTGGCAGTTCAAATCTCACTGGCTCAAGGTTGCCTCAGCCTTTCCTCTTTCTGAGGTGGGTAAAATGAGGACCCAGATTGTTGGGGGCAAGAGGCTGACTCTGTAAACCCCTTAGAGAGAGGGCTGTAAAGCACTGTAAAGTGGTTTATGAGTCTAAGTGCTATTGCTATAACTCAAGTATAGAGCTGAAAGTGTGAATTTCATTCACAAACATTTGAGATAAATCCAGGTTTAAAATCCTAAGGAGTGATAGGAAATCAGAGCAAGTCACTTTTTTTAGTCAGTGGTCAGCTTTGGGATTTTAAGACTGTGTGGAAGCACTCAAAAACAATTGGATTGTTGACTAAGCTATAGTGTCTGTATTTTCACATACACTAGCTCTAAGTCATAAATGTTAGTTTAGAACCACAATGGTTGGTTTCACATATTATACCAAGTCAGAAGATTTCATTACAAGACAGCACAGTGTATGAATTGCACTTATGTCGGTTTAATTCACACACTTAATCAACACCAAATGGGTTTGAAAATCAAGGTTTGGTTTGGAAATGATGGCTTAGCATACTGTATAACAATTAAGGTTTTCTTAATTAACTGTAGCTTAGTGGGATATTTTTTAAAAAAATAAATGGACAATTCTCTGCAGAACATCTCAGGTTAATTCTCCAGCCAGAAGAATCTTCTAGATCAGTGTTTCTCAACCTTGGAAACTTTCAGATGTGACGACTTCAACTCTTAGCATTCCCCAGTCAGCCAAGCTGGCTGGGGGATTCTGGAAGTTGAAGTCCACATATCTGAAAGTGGCCAAGGTTGAAACACTGTTCTAGATCAATGTGGTTGAAGAAACTTAAATAATAATTTACATTTAGAACAAGGGTGTCAATCTTGATTTCATTGAGGGACACATCAAGGTTGTGTTTGATCTTGGGGTGTGTGGCCAGGCCACTCATGTTGGGGTTCAGCCCTCCCAAGCTCCATTTTCACTGACAGAGGGCTACAGAGGGCATATAATACAGGTGAACCTCAAAAAATTAGAATATCGTGCAAAAGTTCATTTATTTCAGGAATGCACCTTAAAAGGTGAAACTACTATATGAGATAGACTCATTACACGCAAAGCAAGATAGTTCAAGCTGTGAGTTGTTATAATTGTGATGATTATGGATTACAGCTCATGAAAAACCCCAATCCACAACCTCAGAAAATTAGAATATTACATGCAATCAATAAAACAAAGATTGCACATAGAACAATATTGGACCTCTGCAAAGTATAAGCATGCATATGTATCCAGTACTTGGTTTGGGCCCCTTTTGTAGCAATTACTGCCTCAATGAGGCGTGGCATGAAAGCTATCAGCCTGTGGCACTGCTGAGGTGTTACGGAAGACCAGGATGCTTCAATAGTGGCCTTCAGCTCTTCTACATTGTTCGGTCTCATGTCTCTCATCTTTCTCTTGGCAATGCCCCATAGATTCTCTGTGGGTTCAGGTCAGGTGCGTTTTCTGGCCAATCAAGCACAGTAATCCCATGGTCATTAAAACAGGTTTTGGTGCTTTTGGCAGTGTGGGCAGGTGTCAAGTCCTGCTGGAAAATGAAGTCAGCATCCCCATACAGCTTGTCTGCGGAAGGAAGCATGAAGTGCTCCAAAATCTCCTGGTAGACAGCTGCATTGACCCTGGACTTAATGAAGCACAGTGGACCAACACCAGCAGATGACATGGCTCCCCAAATCAACACAGACTGTGGAAACTTCACACTGGACTTCAAGCATCTTGCAGCATGTGCCTCTCCATTCTTCCTCCAGACTCTGGGTCCTTGGTTTCCAAATGAGATGCAAAAGTTGCTCTCAACAAAAAAAGAGGAGTTTGGACCACTGAGCAACAGACCAGTTCTGTTTTTCTTTAGCCCAGGTAAGACGCTTCTGATGTTGTTTGTTGTTCAGGAGCGGCTTGACAAGGGGAATATGACATTTGAAGCCCATGTCCAGGATCCGTTTGTGTGTGGTGGCTCTTGATGCACTGACTGCAGCCTCAGTCCACTCCTTGTGAAAGTCCCCAACACTTTTGAATGGCCTTTTCCTGACAATCCTCTCCAGGCTGCAGTCATCCCTGCTGCTTGTGCACCTTTTTCTTCCACACTTTTCCCTTCCACATAACTTTCTATTAATGTGCTTTGATACAGCACTTTGGGAACATCCAACTTCTTTTGCAATTACCTTTTGAGGCTTTCCCTCCTTATGGAGGGTGTCAATGATAGTTTTCTGCACAACTGTCAGGTCAGCAGTCTTTCCCATGATTGTGATTCCTACTGAACCTGACTGAGAGACCATTTAAAGGCTCAGGAACCCTTTGCAGGTGTTATGGCTTCATTAGCTGATTAGAGTGGGACACTTTGAGCCTAGCATATTGAACCTTCTCACAATATTCTAATTTTCTGAGATTGTGGATTTGGGGTTTTCATGAGCTGTAAGTCATAATCATCACAATTATGACAAATCACGGCTTGAACTATCTTGCTTTTTATGTAATGAGTCTATCTCATATATTAGTTTCATCTTTTAAGTTGCATTACTAAAATAGTGCACGATATTCTAATTTTTCGAGTTTCATCTGTAAAACCACTGCATAGTTTTTAGCAGGTCTTCCTGTTGTCCACAATTCCTCCACCTGGAGTAGCAATACAGAAGTTGCATCCTACATCCAGCTGGCCTAGGTTACTTGTAGATGAGGATAGATCCCATCAGAGTGGCATTCTTCTAAAGTTTTGTGCTGTTATTAGCAAAGTTGAAAAATTGGACGAACTGATTTCTGATTATAGTGGAAACTACTCTTGAATTAGAAATATTTTTTGAAGGGATATACAGTCTTCCCTCTTCTCATTCTTTTTCCTCTCTTCTGAGCTGCTGGTCCTTTAAATGGAATGATAGCTTGACAACTTTGTAGTTTTCCCCTCAGTAGCCCAAACCAACCAAGGGGACTGAAATTGACAAGTGTTTAACAGGAACCAATGGTGTGGAAAGTCCCAGATATGTCCCTTTTTACGCCTTTCTTTCTCTCATTTTGTGCACATTAGAGTTGAGATATATTTTTTTCCTACAACTGTTTGGAAGAGTCATAGGGTGAGTGGGGGACTTCTAGTTCTTTGCTCTCAGCACCTCTATTGCAAGTTTTCCACCATTATTTTGGTAGAGAAAAGTAAAGTCTTACACTTAGACAAGAAAAACCAAAACCACACATATAGACTGGGTGAAACCAGGCTCAATAGCAGTAGCTGTGAGAAGGATCTTGGAGTCTTAGTGGACAACCAACTAAATATGAGCCAGCAGTGTGCAGCAGCAGCCAAAAAAGCTAATGCAATCCTAAGTTGCATTAACAGAGTCAAGATCAAGGGAGGTACTAATGCCACTCTATAAAGACGTAGTAAGGCCACACCTA